GCAACGACTCGCCGTAGTGCTCGGCACTAGCACCGCTGGCTTCCCCCATCGACAATACCTGCCCACCCCGCATCACCGTGACGAGGGGCTGGTACAGCCTGGATCTTGCACCACTGCTGTGGTGCAACCCTACCCCGTGCGCTGGGGAGAGATTCGGGTTGGTTGGTGTTCCCCTGTACTCTACATAGAGTAGCGCAAGGATGAGATAAATCTGATAGTTGAGATAGATGAGTACATAGAAGAATATAGCTTAGTTTTTAAACCACCGGTACTTGGCCCAGCTATTGGCCACCGAAAAAAATAGAGTATAAATGTTTCTAGTCGGATGAATTTGGGCACTCTTGTGGTGGACCGTACATTTCCTAGAATCATGGCTTGTTAACGGGCATGACTTTGGGAAGTACTGGGTGGTTTAAGAAAGAAAAAAAAAAAAATCTTGGGACATTGTATTCAGACATCTGAGCAAGGACGGAGAAAGACACTGATGAAGTCTTACCCCACAGACAAATTGGATCAGAGAGATGAGATCTATACCAAGCACACAAGTAATTGGATATTTTATGATGAATGCGTCTACAAGTCTATTAATGATAAACTCAAATGGATATGCAAAAGGCTTGAAGCTTTGAAGGATAGTCCAGAGGCGGTGTCTGAAGTTTTTTCTAATTCAGCCAATCTCTCCAACAGTGTTTACAATACTATGTTTATTCGAACAGGATAAAAAGCAGATCAATGGATGGAGGAAGGTATTCTGAGATAGATCGGAGGTCAGAATATACCCCTGGTTACCCAGGAAGGTAGGACCGGATGAAAAGAGAGAATAGTTGATGAGAGATTTTTACTGGGTAGAATTCAGACACATTCCTATCGAGGTACAAACGGCCTTTGTCCATGATTTCGGACAACAATTCAAAATTATGGACTTTATCGATCCACTCCCCACGTACGTCGCTAAGAGGGATGACCATCTGATGTTAGCTTTGGACTTACCTAAAGATCAGGTGTTTTCTTTGAATGATATCATTCCATTCAAGATGGGAGGTAAGATTTATCAGATTCATACTGCTCACAAATTTCATTTCTGGTGCTTTAAGTGCAAAGCTTATGGGCACCTCAGTACGGAATTTGTTTGCCTTTTACATCCTCAGCATGCCTCTCTACAAGGATCTAGACTAAAACGAGATCCACAACATCCACACACTGTCAGATGTATTCCAATGATTCAGGGATATAAAGGGTGGGTGTTTAGTGATGACTTAAATCAAACTGGTCAGCAAATAGGCTAGAAGGGGGGAAATGCGTAAGACTTCAAGATCACGTGCAGACTAGGTTCTACCCTAGTCTTCTCACGGCTCTCATTGACAAGCCTTGGAGACTGGACAATCAAAGGTTAGAAGTGTACAAAGTGGTGTCCCACAACAGGTAGTGCACTCCAATCTGGGGCAAACGGCCCAAGTCAACCTCTCATGAAAAGGAGGAGCATGAGTGGGTCTATCTGAGGATCTATCAATTAAGAAGGCGATTGTCAATGATCAGCTAAAACAACAAGTTAAACATACTATGGAAAATGGAAAGGCAGTTGTCAATGGTCCAAGAAGTATAGGTTCATCGACATTATCATACTTACATTCCACTGACACACATCCAGGTAAGGAATGGAAAGAAGTCTGACTCAAAGGAAGTGAAAATGATAAGAAAGAATTGAGTTCAGCAAAACAATCCACAACATCCACACAATCAACACAATCGACGCAATCTCAACAGCCAGTAACAATGGAACAGGGATTGTTAACTACCATCCAATTTGAGTTACGAACAAATGAAAGAACAAGGAGAAATGAAGAGGCTAGGTGTAGAAGGCAGAAGTGTCTGCTGGGTCAAAGACCGTGACCAGTATAAGGAAGGAACAACAGAGAAGAATGACCCCATGAACATAGACCCCTTCAAGGACAGCTTTGATAATGATCCCATGGAAGTTGAACAGGCAGTAGCACCCCCACCAGCGATGGCCATAGCCAACAAAGAAAAAAATTTATCCACAAGTCTACAAACGGAATTGCTAAAAGGAGCATACTAGCTATTGGTGAATATGAAGCTCAACTACGAAGGTCTGTCGGATATGGATTGAAACCAGGTATATAAGCAACTTATCCCCATGCTTGACAATAGTCATAGTCTCAAGGTTGTGATGGAACAAGGCCCCAAATAAGGAATGAGTTGAGAAAATATTTGTAATCGTCTGTTGCATATTGTTTTGATCCAATTTCATCCGCCCAAAGGGAATGGTCATATTCATCCCAATCATCTTCTGAGAGGAAAAAGGGGATGTCAATTGATTGACTCAACTACCTCTGGAACAACCACTGACAACATGTATCAGGAGGAGGAAACCGATGATGAACGAAAGCAGGTTGTTCAAGTTAATCACGAAGATCATGATCAGTCCTCTATATAATTAATTATGACTGACAAGGTAGTAGGAAAGTCTGGCTCACCAAAACCGGGAACAATTTTGAATGAAGAACAAATAGACAACAAAGAATTAGAATCAGAAAAAAATTGCAGACTCTTACGAATTAGAACGACATTATAAAGAAAATTTTAAAGCTATCACAGTTTATAACGGGGTGATGCAGTTCACAAAGATTACTTCTGAAGTAACAAGAGAGAAAAAAATTATGTTGATCAACAAGGAAAGGGTTGTCTTAACCAATAATGACACCATTAAGACTAAGTAAAAAACAAAGGTGGTAAAGGTTAGGTAATTACTACAAATGATTGAGTCAAAGAATTAGTTAGTCATAGTCACTAAACAAGATCAGAGTAAGGAGCTAATACAGTCGGTCCCTCAAATGGAAGGTCAGGTGGTGGACCTAACTGTTGAATCAGATCAGTCTGTTTAAGGGATTGAAGATTAGTCTAAGGAAATGGATGATAACCATAGGCAGAAAATAAAGTTGACCAGTAAGGGGCAGAAATTAAGACATAGATTGTTAATGGGACAGGGGGAGATGACTCCTACTAAAAATGAAATTTTACTGCTGCCAGTAAGAAGGAAAAAAATATTTGGGAAGTAGGGTTGTCAGAACCTCCAGGATCGGTAAATGGAGAAATTACTGTTCTGGGTGCTTCCTTTCTGGTCCTCTCACTCTCTACTGACACTAGTTCACAGGTTGAGGAAAATCGGATTCAACAAGAGATTATCAGATTCATCAATGACCATCTGCCCAAGGGAATTACATCAATTCTCACACTCACCACATATTAAGCAAAAAGGTTAGTAGAAAGGGATGTATACCTGAAATATGATCCATAAAAACAGATAGAGTTCAGATGGATAGGGGTAGAAACTCTTTAAGAAATACAGTTGTTAAAGGTTAAAGCTAGTAACTTTTGGTATGAGACAGATGTTGCTACCATTTTAGTGAGACTTTTGAGTCAAAGTACACTAGAAACTGGTGGCTCAGTGGACCAGAGAGATTGACAACCTTTGAAAATAGCAAGAGGATCCCAATCTCTTGGTATATTTCCTTATACTTTATACCTTCATACCTCAATGAATGAAAATAATGATTAAAATATTTGTATGGAATAAATTAAAGTTATAGATGCATTATTTAATAAGGATAAGGAATGAAGGTATCTTAGAAGGAATGCAGACTTGGATCTACGGTCGCTGGATGTTAATGGCCTAGCATCAGCCCAAAATACAAAAAAATAGGCAATCTACGACCAGTTAAAAGGTATAGGGGAAAGAGACTGACCGGATGTAATATGTATCAAGAAAACTCATTTGATGGATACGGAGACTCATAATCACACACATAAGATATTATGGTCACACCAAGCCTTTAGAGCCCATGCACCGAGACCTGGTAGTGCGCGGGTAGCTATTTGGATTCCCCAAAATTCCAGAGCGGATCTCATTTATGTGTAGGTAGATAAGGAGCAAAGGAGATGGACCTTTGTGCTAATAATGTTTGAATTGGAGGTGGTATGTATCCTATGTGTATATGGACCTAATGAAATTGGTGAAAGACAAAGATTTTATAAGTCCTCTCTTCCTAGCTTGTCACAAGAGATGCCGGTTATTATGGTTGGAGACTTTAATGCAACATCGAATTGACACCTGGATCAATTACACATTTCATCCCCATGCTCTGCATACATGGAATCATATGAGATAATAATTCATAGTATATGTCAGTCCCTCAATCTTTTCGATTCTTATAGACGACTTAACCCAACAAAGAGGTCGTTTTTTTGTTTCAGGAAAGGTCAATCTGAGATGGGGTCTAAATATCGCATTGATCTTATTTTAATATCTGAAGAATTACAAGGTTCCGAGCTATTCAATTTGTCAATATCTTTCCAAGAAGTCCATTTCCTGGTTTAGATCGTGCTATGTGTGTTGCAGTTTTAACTTTCTGAATGATTTATTAATCTTCTGGCGTAACCAGCAGGACCTCATCCAAGATAATATAGAATGGTTCAACAACGACCTAGCGTTTATAGGTCGTAAATGTAATGAATATTATAAACTCCTTGCCTCACAAATTCAACAACTTCAACAATAGGAGAATGAATTTGAAGAAAGGAGGGTTTGAAACCTTTAGCTGAAGAAATTAAAGAATTGGAGGATCAATTGTTGACTCAAATGAAATACAGATGGCGAGATTAAAGATAAAGGCAAGCTCAAATAACACCAAATGGAAAGGGAGATGGATGCTAGATTCTTTTCTCTGGCAAAAATTAACACCAGTCGCAAAATCATTGAAGCCCAAGAAGACCCCTTCCATAGGAACGACCCGTTGGCCACGTCATCAGGATCATGTATGAACATAACCAGGGATTTCTTCCAGGATCTCTTTAAGACAGAAACTAAACACATCCCGAAGGTTCAAAAAATTCAGAAAATAGAAAATTTTCTTACGCCCTTGGACAAAACACTAACTGAAGGATAAAAAAATGAATTAGAAATGCGTATTTCAAAAGAAGTTATATGGACAACTCTAATGTTGATGAAAGCAGAAAAAAAAACAGGCATTGATGGTTTCCCCAAGGAATTTTTGGAAACCTTATGGAATGTCCTTTCACAAGACCTCATGAAAGTTTATCAGGCAATTTCGCTATCGCACTCTTAACAGTGATTTACAAACGACTGATGAAAGCTCTAGCTAATAGACTAACCAAAGTCATCGTTGAAATTATTCATCATGCGCATACAAGTTTTATTACAAGAAGGAATATCCAAGACAATATATTATTTGTCAATGAGTTGATCAGGATATCACGTCAATCTAAACATAACGCAACCTTCATATTTATAGATTTTGGGAAAACTTATGATCATGTGGATTGATTATTTATAGATAAATGTTTAGAAAAAAATAATTTTGGTCCAAACTTTAGAAGGTGGGTAAAAATACTGCATATGAATGTTACAACTAGAATGATGGTCAATGGTAATGTAGCCCCCCTATTTCCTTACAGAGATCACTTAGACAGGGAGACATAGTTGCCCCATTTGTTTTTGTCATAATCATGGAGGTCTTTACAATTAACCTTAAAAAATATAACGATATTAAAAGAATACAAGTGTCATCAATTCCAAAGGAAGCCATTCATGCTCCCTCTTTGCTGACGATCTGTCCCTGATGGTAGAAACATCTAAAATGAATATGGAAGCAATTAACAGTCTGATGGATAAATTTCGTAGACTGTCTGATATGAGGTCAAATTGGGGAAATAAAACTATGGGTTGGTGGATTCATCATCAAGGAGTGAGACCCTCTGGAATTCCCCAAGTAAAATGACTTTCCTTAGAAACTCCCATTAGGGTATTATGTATTTTTTTTTTAGCAGCAGGAAAACCATCAAGTAACGATGACTGTATAGCGAGACAAGCATATGCTAAGCTGAAACTGTGGAAGGGTAAACAAACTTCCCTCTTTAGTCGTACTCCGATAATTAATTATGTGATTTTAGCCTCAATCATATATAAATCTGCAATATGGGCATTGAATAAGAAAAATTTAAAAAACATGCAGCGTCAGCTATCAACATTTTTATGAAGAAAAAATCATGAGTTTGATACGGTAATTAGCAGGGTAGCATGACAATCAGTAAATCAGATACAACCTAAAGCTAGAGGAGGGTTGAACATCATTGATCCTTCTTTACAAGCTATGACCTTATCAATTCAATGGATAAACACCTACTCTTTAATCCTCAAACCCCTTGGAGTGTGTTGGCATGAGAACAAATCAGACGTCTTGCACAAAAAACACCTATAAACATAGATCCAATGAATCAGATGTGGCTAGAAAATAGGTCTTGGACTATTCCAAGAGGGTTAGTGAATGAACCAATGAATTAAAGTACATCAGATAGAAATGCGACAATAATGAATTTGCAAAATGATTCGTTTTTGCCAAACCTTATCAAAACATGGAGGAAACTACTATTAACAGACCGAAACCCTCCTGGCAGATGGGAATAGGTATGTCAACAACCACTCTTTGATAATAATCTTCTCAAAAATCCCCAAGGATGTTTCATTCACTGTGCAGATTCCCCTTGGAAATGATGGGTTAAAAGTAGTATTGTAAGAATAAAGGCATATGGAACAGTGAAGAAAGAGAATGGTTTACCCCTTCACAGTTACAAACCCACCTTAGGTATTGTCATCATTCAGAGGAAGCTTTAAAAAATTTGATTGAGTGGATGTCTTTGGATTGAATAAGAATTCTAAACAAAGGTCCTCGGTTATTAGAAGGAGATTGGGTTGCCATGAATGATCAGTCAAACATCATACGTAGTGTTGTAGTAGTCCAGGAGAATGGGGAAGTATTCCTCACTACTTATGAAATGGATAGTAATCAAATAGTTATAATCAAGGACCAGAATAGTATAAGAAGAGTGACAAAAGACCAAGTATTCAAGATCAGAGTATTGAGGTACAAAGATAAATGGATAGACTTTAAACCAAATACACTCATAAATTGTCTACCCCTTGATCCTGCTAATTGGAAGTAGAGTAATACATGAAGCAAAGGAAGAACGTATTCTTGTGCTCTTCACACGTTGTCAATAAAATCCACTTATAGGATGATTCGTCCTTATTGTTTTTTGAAAGACAAGATAGAGGAAAGATGGATGAAGTATCTCAATGTTAATAAGAAATCATTAAGAAATTTAAAATAGTTCAGTAAGACCAAAATTAAACCTGCAAAGGTAGCTTCACTACAATGGAAAATAGAGCATAGATGTCTACCTACAAATGACTGGCTAATAGACACATCAACATTAGAAAAAGAGGGAAAACGCCCCCTGGTGTAAATTTTGTAAATCGGCGTTTCCTTCTAAGTTAACCCCAAAGACAATCGAGCATATATTATTACAGTGTCCTAGGGAAATCTGGCTATGGAGGTGGTGAGATCGTATTTGGTCTAATGCGAAAACCGAAGTCCAATGGCCATAGGACTGGAGGACCATCCTTATTGAAACCTGGTCCCCTTAATGTATTGATGAATTCTCACAAAATTTGTATAATGTAGGCAGGATAGCGATATTATTGGCAATATGTTTAAAACGAGGTACGTATAAAATGGAAGGGGTTAGGCTAGATGGACCAAAAATTCACTGACACGGTTAAACAACAAATACAAACAGATATCAATATAAAATGAGAACAGACTAAAGAAAAAATACAATTTTTATCCCCGCGAAAAGAAACTATGCAACACATTCAACGATTCGACCATTGTTGGCTAGGAGGAACCCAGGAAGGGAAGATGGGGAATGGAAGATAGGGAAGGTTGAATGGGAAGGGGAAGAGGAAAATCTGAGTCGAGATTATAAACTTGCTTTTAATGACTGGGCTACGATTGACCCTACAATTCCTTTACGACCACTATCGAATTTCCCAGATCCTTTTCCCCCCTCGACTCTAAGTCCAGTCTCAAGGGCTTGGTTTGGGTATGAATAAAGTTAAAAGGTAGGAGAAGATGGTATTCGAACTTTTCATGTTTTTAAGGATTATTAGATAAGAAATGAATAGTATTTAAAAAAAAAAAAAAAAGTTTATCACCGTTTTTTCTCAGAGTGTATAGCAGAAGACATCTTGTGTTTGTTGTCGAAGCGGTTATTCAGGTTGTTGTGCCTGGTTATGTATGAATCCGGTACGGTACGGTTCCGATGTCTTTCATATCATGTATATATAGCCTTCTTGGGGAGCAAGTTGGAGGTTTTCGAGATAGCTGTTTAGGTGCTGTTCGTTTTGGCAAGGCGGTAAGGATTCAAAGAGATCCGTTCAGAAAATACATGATGCTCATTTGGGGGCGGGGGGGGAGGGAGGGGCTCTACCCCCGCTTTCCCACACCCCTACCCACCCTGTGTGTTTGAATAATCCC